TTGATAGGGTTAAAACCTGTGTTATCACATAGTAGCAGGTGCAGAATGAAATCCGAGGATATTAGCTACATCGGTCAAAGCTTTCCTCCATCGAATTTTCAGTTTCTCCGACTTGTTGCAGCATGCCTTGTTAAACATCGTTCTAAAGTGTCCGGTCTGGTACCTCACATGGGAAGGTTCCAAACGGTATCACCATTTGACCAAACTCTTGCTTGCATTTCACGATCTCTAGCAACTCGTTAAGGCACCAGCTTGAAGAGGCGTAATTTCTGGAGAACACAACCACTGCAATCCTCGAAGTCCTAACCGCTAGTTTAAGCTCAGGGCCGAGCGACCGGCTTCTGTCCATCTCATTGTCTTTGAAAACAATAATAAATTTCCGATTCAACTCACGGATCAAGTGGCTGAGGAAAGTTATGCGGACGTCTGTTCCGCTGAAGCTCGGGAAAACGTCGTATTCCCAATTACGAGAAGATGAGGACATCGTTTTCAGGATAATGGAACCCAATTACGAGAAGATGAGTTTATTTGGGTTGTTAAAAGAAGCCATTGGAGTCCTGAGAATTTCAGAGAAAAGAGAAGGAAGGTTCTTGGATTGCTGAGAATTTCAGAGAAAAGATAAGGAAGGTTCTTGGATGTTTGCTTAGCCGAAGAAAGTCAACGGAATGAGCAAGTGTTGTGACAAAAGTCTAATGGAGAAAGAGTCATTAGTATTGTGCGTGTTAGCGATGTGTCACAGTGCCGCATTACTGATCTTTTTGTTTTGGTAAACATCATGCTGTTCAATTTACCAGTGTAAATTCTATTTATCTGTTACGTTGATTGAGAAGAGGGAATTTGTTCTAAAAACTTTGGTTTAGTTCCAAAATTTTAAGGAAGAAATGGATGTGCTGCTTACAACTCTATTTCAAAGCCGAGAAGATCACATTGTCACAGTACAAAACTATATGTGACAACAAGGCTCAAGTTTGGTCCTCTAAACATACTCAAGTACCCAAATATAAGATGAGAACTGGAACTGAATCTCATCTGGTTGTTGATCTTGCACTCATGGATGTGTGATAATTTGTACTTCTGTGTTTCCTGTAAGACGAATAAACATCATCGTACTGAGTTGGTTCGTTGGGATCAGCTGTCGCTCCAAGCCCCAATCTCCCAGATCCGCTCTTTTTATCGGTGCTTCCATCTGCATATGTTCCTGTCTCGGGATCCACCTGTAGATTGGGAGGTGGAGGAATGCAAGCACCTCCTTTGCGCTGTGGACTATCCCGCTCATAATCATCATAGTCGTCTTGCGATTCAGATCCCATGGGACCTTCACTCGGATTGACCTCACCTATCTCTTTGAAGAACTTTGACACTCTCTCAAGTACTTGAGATTGAGGTGTAATGGATGGTGGTATGATTGTTGGGATATCAAGAGGGCTCAGTGGGGAGTAAGGCACGCCACTACCGACCTGCATCTTTCTGACCATCCCAGGGATCAGACCAGGAGGAAAGAGGGGGTACGGAGGCGGCTTCTCACCAGCAGGTGGTTGGGTTGGTGGTGGTACTGAAGGGTTAAGCGGTATGGAACCAGGAAAGGCACCAGTAGGCATCACATTTGGGATAAACTGTTGGGTTGCGACCGGATTATTAGGCAGGTGCTCTAACTTCATTGTACCGCTTGGTGGCTGTAGCATTCCTGCAAGTGGATAAAGATAAAAACTTGTTGGTGTCTGGTCGAAATCTTACATTAGGTCGAGTTAAAATTTATGTTTCTTTCATGGAAAAGCAGGAATACCTGTATGTTGTTGTAAGGAGTTTGCTGCTACAATGGGTGAACGAGAAAAGGTATTTGCAGGTGGTCCACTTTTCATCTCTTTCTCAAGGGAGGAGATGGTATCTTGATCAAAAACCTCCTTAGAAGCCCAGAACTGCAAAATCTTCTCAAGACGTGACTGGTTTTCTTCCTTGTTCTGTGGAGAGTGGTAAATCTTCCCTAGCATGGAACCCAAAACAGGTCTGAAAGCAAGGGCTTCGTTGTCAAACTCATGCACGTTTGTCCTTCTTTGCAAACTGTGTTTAAGGAAGTAATACGTCAGTGGAAAAACATGAGAATACATTAGCGTAGAAGCATCATAACATCGCAACCCAAATTATATCAAATGGACCAGAATTTGAAAGCATATATTCCTAACAAGATATATAAACAAAAAACAAAGACTACGCAGTAAACCCCCAGAACTATGTAAACAGCAATCAGTGATGTAGTGTAGATACCTGTCAAAGAGAATGTCATTAGCTAGATAAACCATGTGCATCTGTCTATCAGAATCATCCATTGCAAAGACCCTGTCTCTGAATGCCTCTGCTAAAGCTGGTGCAAAGGGAGATCTCTGCATGAACCAAATCTTAGCACTTTTGATAGACTCTTTTGTGCCATTAAGGTTGGCCAGTACACCATTTAGTTCCATTGCAACATCAGCAGGGAGCGGACCAGAAAGACCTCTGAATGCATGAGTTGACTGGTCAAAATCAGGACGAGCATGAGGCGGAAAAGGATGAGGTTGGGGAAGATGCTGTTGGTGGTCATGGAATGGTGGGAAAGGAGGTTGGCGGATTGGCGGAACCCCCAATGCACCAGGCACATTGTTCATTGAAGGACTCATCATGGGATTTGGCGGATGATGTATCATAGGCAAAGAAGCTGACGAAAACGGAGGATCAAAAGGTCCTCCAGGGCCAGGGGGATGCATAGAGAGAAACTGCTTATAGCGGTAATAACCATGCCCTTCACCACCAAACAGAAACGCAAAATCAGGATTATCCTTCTGTCTATCTCGCATCATAGCCTCAAACTCCGGACCATTCTTAATTGAATACTCAACAAGCTTATCGATCCGCTTCTGCAGCTCTTGGTCAGCT